CTTCTATTTCTGCACATTGTCCCACAAAACCATGCAGCCAACGCACTGACCCTACTGGTGCCCCGCACCTCACGCATTCCCCAAGACATGTACAAAAAATCCACTATGGTATATCTTAACGCTCGTGTCACCTCTTGTGTCGCCCCATCCATGTCGAGGAGTAACGCCCTTAAAGTAGTCGCCCTTCCCCCCCAACATCCTGAATACTTCCCTCATCCACAACCTTACCACTTCTAGAGTAGGTCAACAATACACAGCATGAAACGCCGTTTCCTCTTCACCACAATGCAGGCAGGTTGCATCCTGAACATAACCCATTTTCCATAACATCACCTTAGACGCCTGTATCCCCATGATGAATCTATACACCACCTCACGCACCTTAGCGGGTATACGAAGCCGCCGGAATTCCTCCCATATCACCTTCCAATTACATATAGGATAAACCCCCACCCCTGACAATGCTGCCCGCTGGGATCCCACACTCACCAGCCTCCCTATGGGCATACCGCATACATCCCTAACCAGTAACATATTGGAGCAAGTCCTCGCATGCCTTCAGCTCCTTTCCATCCCACCAACACCAGACTTCTCTCCTGACCTCTCCCACCCTACGGCCTCGAGCCCCCCCTAGTCTTAAGTAACACACCCAGACATAAATTGCTCTCATCCTAGGTCCCAAAGCTTGCAAACCTAAACCCCCCATGTGTACTCCAGACATCACCACCTCACGTCCCAACCATGCCCTTCCATATCCCCAAATATACCTCAATGCTCTTCTCTGTATCTCTGTTACATCACAGGGCCACAAAGGATATACAGCTGCCACTCCCCAGACCTTACTATACACAAGCGAGTTCACGACCATCACCCGTTGGTGCAATGAGGAATCCCCGGCTCATAGTCCTCGTAATCTACCCAGCACCTTGTCCCATACCACCACCGAATTAAACTCCCTACTCGCTTGTTTGTCTGCCAAATACATAATCCCACAAATCTTAATTCTATCCACACATGTCCATTCAAACCCCTCACCCATTCTCCCCCCTACCCAGCTCCCCACCTCTAGCAACATCAACTTACGCCTGCTAACCCTCATACCCGTCGCAGACCCAAACCTTTCAATGCCCTCACCCATGTAAACGAAATCCTCCCATGCACTAATCAGAACCGTTGTATCATCAACGTACCCCACTACACTCCCCCAATGCATCCTCGCACCCCCTTCTTCACTCACGATCTAACAGCTCATAAAACGGATTTTGTACACATGCAAACATGATTTGGGAAAGTGGACACCCCTGCCTCAAACCTCGTTCCATGCATATATTGCCCCCCAGTCGCCCATTCACCTGAACCCTCATCATCACCCCGGCATACAATGCCTCCACCCATCCCATTACATTTGCACAAAAACCCAAGCCATGTAAACACTCCCGCACAAATCCTGTCCACACAATCGTACGCTGTTTCCCAGTCCAAACCGAGAACCCTCCCTCCCCACCCCCTCCAGGAAATCCCGGATATGTCCATGACCCTCCCTCATACTTCTCCCAGGAATTCCATACTGTCCCTCATGTAAAACCGACCCTAGAAGCCCCTTCAGACGATTGCCCAATATTTTCACAAACACCTTGTAATCAGCACACATTAAAGAAATTGCCCTGTAGGCACTCAGAACGTGCTCCCCTCCCTTCTTAGGAACCAACACAACAACACCCATTTGTTGAGACTCACCCATTCTCCCACTTGCCAACATATTATTTAGAACCCCAATGACAGCATGCCTGATGCATCCCCAATGCTTCCTGTAAAATTCAATTGGCAACCCATCATTGCCCGGCGTCTTACCAGTCTGTATTCCAAAAATCGCCACCGCAGCCTCCTCCTCACAAATATCCTCTTCCATCCTCTCTCTAATCCCTGTCCCCAACACAGCACGAGCCCCCTTCCCCACCAACCCCCGTGAACCGTTACCCATTTTCCCGAAACCAAGCATCAGTGTAATAGCCCATGCTGTCTCTGGTGGCGAAGATCGTGCTATCCTGGTATCCCCCACCCCTGAACTTGCCACCAATTGCAACATGGTAGTCATAGCACGACGTTCTCGGAACTTGCGTAATGCGAGCCCAGACAGCTTGTCGCCCCATAGTACGTCCTCCAACCCCGCTCAATAACGTATCCCATTGAAACATTCATTGCGAATGTCCGCAAGTCTATCCCTTGTGGATTCTGCTTCCCCGCCCGCCCCACACCCCCTGTCATAATAATTCTTTAGCTGAGATTCCAAATAATTTTGCCAGCCAAAACGCCATCTCGCTTCCTCCTTCCCCCTGCCTCGGAAATAGGTTGCAATGCATGGCTTTGCTTTCAACTCCCACCAGTCAACGAGCTGCATTGCCCTATCCCTTCCCTCCATGAACCTACCCAACCATTCTTCGAAACCCGCACCCCCTTCCTCACCCCTAAGCAATCCTACATTTAACATTCAATAACCAGCATGAATTCTGACCACTCCCTCCCACTGCAAATCAGCAATTACCGCTCTGTGGATTCGAGAAACCTACATCGACCATCTGCACATCCCTCACCTCTATACCCCGCATTACATAAATCCTGTCTAGCCTCACTGCATATTCTCGTCTGACAAAAGTGTGCTCCGCCGCTAAGCCGCCATCCCCCCACAACATCCACAACACCTACATCTTGCAATGTGTCCCGCAGAACCTTCAGTATGCACCCCACCCCCCTTGGTTCCACATCCCTTCCGCGAATCACGCAATTCCAATCCCTGCCCATGATCGTGACCGCCGGCAATGCCCATAAACACTGTTGTAAGTCATCCCTCACAAAATCTGCTTTTACCCATATATTACCCGACGCCGGCATATATACACCTATGAGACAAACGCATCTCTCACCCCATACCCCATCTACTCTCACGACCCTCCCCCCTCCTCCCAACCCGTGATATGCAAGGGGCTGGTGTCCTTGATCGTTTTTGCCGCCCCCCTTTTAACTGCTTTGGCAGAACTAACATACACCTTGTAGCCATCCAACCTCAAACCACATCCCAACCGAAAATTGTGTTCTTGTAAAAAACACATCAACCCAGAACCTTCTCAGAAACCAAACCAACCACACATGCTTGATCTCTGACCTGAGACCATTCACGTTAAGTGTGACACTCCGGAAAGTTATATAAACAGCGGCTTCCCTCTATGCCGCTGTGGTTTACTCATAGCGCTTTTCCCCATTTGGTGCCCAGGCACCTCATAGTTCTTTACTTGTTCACCCTCACCCTCCCACACCCATCCACTGCGTAGCTATGGCGTCGCTGGACCAGCCCGTTCCTCCTTCAACTCCTCCAGCGCCCATGCCTTTTTCTCTGGGTGCTGGCCTGGCATTAGAACCTCCTCAATGTCCGCCGTTCCATCCATTCTCTTTCTGGAGCTGCCACTCACACTCATATCCACTTCCTGGGCTTGCTTCTGATGTACCTCCGGTTGCACAACCTGCTGCAAGGTACCTGCACTGGGGTCCCCTCCCCCAGGCGACTGAACCGTCGTGGATGTCATAGATGTGCCCAAAAAATCCTGGAGTACCTCCAACATGAAGCACTCCTGAGGTACACCGTCCTGACACACTTGCTCTCTTGACAATTCTTTCACAGCCTCTGATCGCTCTGGGAGTGTAACATACCATTCAGCAGACTGCTCCGCACAGTCTACCTCTTCACTCAAACAACCGCTCCTCAAGTCCACCCTGCCGCCCACCTCAGGCCGTAATTCACACAATCGTTGCTCCACTGCCGACGACCCAGGCCCTCTGGGCGGCTGCCGCCTCGGACACTGTGCCGCCATATGATCATACGAGCCACACAGGTGACACGTCCGCCGCCACTGACCAGCATAATGCACGAAAACCTGCGTCCTGTATCCCGCCAACGTCACGTACGACGGGATCGGCAGGGTCAAAGACATTTTGAGGGTGTAGGATCCCAGAGGGAGCCCCTCGTACGGCCCTTCCTTCAAGACTCCCATCGTCGCCGAATGAACCCGACCATAGCTGCTAAATGCCTCCTTCAGCCCATACACAGTTGCCTCAAAAAGCACATAATGCACCTTCACCCACGTGTGATACTTGGAAACATCGTGCAAGATGACGTCCACCGCCACTTCCAGTACTGTAACATCCTCACCAATCCTTCAGAGTGCAAGTGCTGTACCCCCCCACCTCAAGTACTGTAACATCCTCACCCACCGTTCAGAGTACAGGCACTGTACTTCCCACTTCCAGTATTTTAACATCCTCACCAATCCTTCAGAGTGCAGGCACTGTACTTCCCATTTCAAGTACTGTAACATCCTCGCCGACCCTTCAGAGTGCAGGCACTATACTTCCCACTTCCACTACTGTAACATCCTCACCAATCCTTCAGAGTGCAGGCACTGTACTTCCCACCTCGAGTACTTTAACATCCTCACCCACCCTTCCGAGTACAGGCACACTATTCTGTGTTGTAGGTCAGTGTTTAGTACAGTAAACTGTAGTGTATGTTAATGTTTAGTACAGTACACTGTAGTGTAGGTCAGTGTTTAGTACAGTACACTGTAATCTAGGTCAGTGTTGTTTATTGGGCAATTCGAGAGAATGTAAGTATTATGTTTCAGAAGAGACACATGCAAGGTTAACTGTAACCTGTTACTAGAGACTCACTGAAGGTGCCATCTAGTAACTGTAACCTGTTGCTAGAGACTGTCTTTGAAGGTGTGACCTGGTAACTGTAACGTGTCACTAGAAACTGTCCCTGAACATGTCACTGTCTAGTATCAGGTTAGGAAGTGAATAATGCTGTCACAGTGGCAGGACCCCAATGGAAATAAGCCAATTTGACTTTTTTGGGTTATCCAAGGTTCTCCACACATATGCTGCTATGTATGATAATCTATGTTTATACCTGAATAAACTTACTTAACTAAAATGAATGATAATTTCAGGAGTGAGTTACCTGAGGAGGTTGGTGCAGTGTTACACGCCTTCGTGATGGGTACACTGTATAACCTGACACCACTGGAGAATGTTAACCTTATACAAGTAAGTCAGTGTATCAGATTATCTTCATAAACTCTTATCGTCTTAAGATGTATGTGGCATGCTAAGAGTATGTTACAATTTATTCGGCGTATGTCACACTTCCATATAGCCTTCCAACCAGTGAACCGGGTGCTAAGGGTCGATCAATAGAGGACCTATCGTTAAATCAGTACCTTTGTTCATTGGCCAATTACAGGCAAGGTCGCAGAAGCTGAAACCACGTGGCTCACTTGTGGTAAGCATTGACAGACTTGCCTACCTGCTGGTTGAGCATGGTGCACACTCTCTGGGTTCTGCTTTGCCATCTGTCACCGTGGTGTACATTTACTATTCTATCTGTGCATATTGTACATAATATACATACTTGTACATATCTGGTGAAGGCAAATTTACATAATATTTAATTGGTGAGTTTGCTCCACTTTGGAACCCATTAAGACCAGGTGGCAGACCATACAATACCTGTGTTTGTAATAATGCAGTTAGTATTATATTTATAATATATAATATCTTTATGGAATATAATCTTTAAGGAGTAGTGTCTTTATAAGGTATAGTTACTATTGGATCTTTATAAGAGACAGTACTGAAGTATAGGTAAGAAGTGAAGTGTACATGTCAGTGTCAGTCAGTGACATGTTCAAGTCAGTGTCAGTCAGTGACATGCTCAAGTCAGTGTCAGTCAGTGACATGCTCAAGTCACTGTCAGTCAGTGACTTGTTCAAGTCACTGTCAGTCAGTGACATGTTCAAGTCACTGTCAGTCAGTGACTTGTTCAAGTCACTGTCAGTCAGTGACTTGTTCAAGTCACTGTCAGTCAGTGACTTGTTCAAGTCACTGTCAGTCAGTGGCATGTTCAAGTCATTGTCAGTCAGTGACACGCTCAAGTCACTGTCAGTCACCTCCCTAACTCCCCCATAACTTTTTCATTATCTTGACACAGTGTGTCTACTCTTATAACTTGTTAACTGTGACAATGTCCTCCGTCAACACCAGTCTGTTGTCCACCTTCACCCCCACTATCTCCCTGAATCCCCCTCCATCTCCCCCCCATCTCTCTCACTATCATATATAATTATTTGTTTTTATGTTAATAGAAGTTTTTTTCTAATGTTGACAGAAAATGGAGAAGGAGAACCTGAAGTTAGCAAGAGAGAAAGGCTTCAAGGCTGTGTTTACCACCAACACGTCTTCTCTTACCCAGGTCAGAAATGATCTCACGTTAGTGTAAACTCCAGTTGTCCATAAAGTTTGTATTGTTCATTTGCATCTCGTGCCATGCACGGAGGCTTCTACATCTCGTGCCATGCATGGAGACTCACACATCTCGTGCCGTGCACTGTTACAAAAAACGCGATATCTACCAATGATAGAGATCAGTCAATACTAGAAAGGATAGCCCCTCTAGCATCCAGCCTGTTACTGGGTTTTTGAAACAAGTAGTCAGTATCCTGGTCCAATTATCCATTAGAATTTAATAGTAAGATACAATAGTGCTTCACGATTACAACTGGTAGGCTACTAACTAAAGAAAGTAAAATTTAATAAGTTTATTAATAAAGATAAAGTTGTCTAGGTGGACAGTATCAAAGTAAATCAAAATAATCTATTTAATATATAGGATACAAGTTCCTACACTTCTCTCGTGTACAGTAGTATTGTGCTGAAGGCACATATCATATCTTTATGGCTTTTAAGTACCGTCTGGTATATTGTCAGCATTTAAGAACATAATACTAATATATACAAGTGACTATGTGTGTAAGTGTTCTAAGTAGTTCGCTATGTCTCAAGACTCGACTCGACTTACCCAGTGACCGACTAAAAGTCCTCACATAAACTAACTTCTTGACCAACCTAGCAATCAGAACAGCTTGTTTGAACAGTAAAACGACCGATTCGCCGAACAGCAATATAACAAGCAGCAGCAACACAGAATCAGGAACAAAGAGATAACATAACGACCTTAAGTAGGGACCATCTGCAGATCCTCCACAAAAGTCACAAAACTCCCATACTACTGAATCTAACTTCACCATAAGAAAATCCCCGACTGTGACGGTGCACAGATACCAGTACAATTTAGGTCAGAAGCTACAGCTCAGGACCTGAGTTTCTCAGTGTCAGTGTGACACACAACCCCAGTAAAACATCGAAAATCACTAAGTCTAGCCTATGCTCTGTGAACAGAGTTACACAGAACTAACGACAAGAGAGATCGACAGAGATGATGTTCCAATAAGGGCCAGCAAGGAAGAGCTGGAGAGGGAGCAGTTGTTGGAATCATCGTCAGAGAGAGAGCTCTCGGAGGCAACGCAGTCCTCTCACCCAGGTGAGGTGTGATCACCCCACCCTGATCATGTGACTCTCCATGGACTGCTGCTGCCCAGCAACTACAGAGAAGCCGGCAGCGAAACAAGCGGTAGTTACAGTAGTTAAACAATGTGACAGCTACTTAACACTCTCGAGCAATGAGCACTGAATAATATATAAATGTTACATCCTACCTAATAATAAAACTAAGTCAAATAATAATATAAATCAATATATTTACAATTTAGCTAATATCGCAGATATCAGCAATATAAAATTATATGAACAGGTAATATACATTATATACATTGTGACCCATTCAGGTTTTTTTATAATTTATTTAAGAAACCATACAAAAGTACAAATGATGCATAATAAGAGTACAGGAATTCAAAAAAAAAACAATCTTTTACGCTGCTAGTACCAGGTTATTCCAGGAGGCAACAAGTATTATAACAACATCCTGTTATAGCAAACAGTACACGCTAAAATAAAACTCACTAAAGTATTAGTCATTTATAGGTACCGTCATGCAAATTGTGACCAAAGAAACACCAAAAGGAAATTTTACATGGGTTATCAAAATAAAAAGGAGTACTTGTCATAACCTATTACAACAATGAACAACATACAATGCACAACATCACAAGGTTACTAAAGGTAAAGTTGTAACATATGACCAAAGCCATAACCACCTTTAACACACACAATATATGTATACAACACAAATCATGTCAGTAAAGTAAAGAGACCCTAACTAAAGCTACCATAACAACTATAAAACAGACACAAAACCCGAACATACCCGCTATGACAGGTTACAGAGTACTGGTTAAAGTTGTGTTACATTATAGCCTAACCAATAGGAATTCTGAAGGAACGTATGATTCCTTATGCACAATAACCATTGAAAAATAGTGTTTTAATGTTATTAATATGTTAAACCATCAAGTACAATAATTCTTGTACAGAAAACAGAACAACATACATTTAACATACAGTAATAAAATAGAAGATTGAGACACTTATGCAGCATATGGGAATCTTTATTCAGGAAACTTTTCGCCACACAGTTGCTTCATCAGTCCAATACAAAGAGGAAGGCGTAAGGAGAGGAGGAGTATGAGGTAATCAGTCCCTCAACCTGGCGTCGATGTGTTCAGTCCATCAATCTTGTAGAATGTACAGCATAGGGCCGTAGACGTGGCTTATATACTGTAGTGAGGTGACGTGAAGCAGGCGGAGGCGGGGTCATAGTGGTACCATCCACTAGTCGAAGTAGGTCTTCTTCAACACTTGTTCAACCTTTGGACGAAGACCTACTTCGACTAGTGGATGGTACCACTATGACCCCGCCTCCGCCTGCTTCACGTCACCTCACTACAGTATATAAGCCACGTCTACGGCCCTATGCTGTACATTCTACAAGATTGATGGACTGAACACATCGACGCCAGGTTGAGGGACTGATTACCTCATTCTCCTCCTCTCCTTACGCCTTCCTCTTTGTATTGGACTGATGAAGCCACTGTGTGGCGAAACGTTTCCTGAATAAAGATTCCCATATGCTGCATAAGTGTCTCAATCTTCTACTTGTCGGTTTTTCAAACCATTCATCACAATAATAAAATAAAATAAACCCCAAAACAAGCTTTCACAACATAATAAAACTCAGCACATCAAAAGGGTTTAATACCAAACCCTACACAGAAATTAAACCTCCCACATATGTATGTAAACCGAAACTCTTGTCCACAAAATTTTTAGGTATAAACCCCTTAATAAACATGGTATAAACCCAAGACCTATACATACTCTTAAGAATTACCACATAGAACCTCCAGCAAACAATAAAAATTTAACATAATAAAAGACAAGTAGTAAGTATAAGAGCCACTGTATCTTACCAGTCCCAAAAGAACTGACATGTACCTCATACAAATTTGTTCGAACCAGCTTGCCATATCTGATTACTTAAAACCGAGATCCTAAGGGCTCAGTATCCTGGCTATCAAGGAAGATTTCATACACAGTGAACATAACCATCAGGTTTAGAAAATTTAACTTTGTAAGCTACTCTTATATCTCACTATGACAAACATTCCCATGAAACAGAGCTTGCCATCCATACCAAACTGCCACTACCTTCCTCTTACACACCACAAAAAAATCCAGAGTTAAACAAAAAACCCCCACCCCCTTTACATCCCCCCAGAAGGAGACCACCCCTTTGCCCATCCTCAGTGACCCTGACAAAGGGAGCCCACAGTGAGGTTCCTATAACCTTCCGGGAAACTTTTTTCCCAGGACACCCTATAAACCAGCATATTCCTATACTTTGTCCTATAGAATCTAGCCGCCAACGCTTTTATCATCATATCATCCCTTAATTCCCTTATTCCCCTTGAAATATCCAGATAATCTACTATGACTTACATTATAGCCCATCCCACATCCCTAGGCACTCCCCTTACATCTAATAGTAAAGCCCTTAAAAGCGGCAAACGTCCCCCCCCCAAAAAGCTGATAACCCCACCCATCCATGATCTCACCCCCTCCAAGGAGGGACAAAAGAAGACCACATGAAACGCCATTTCAACATCATCACAAAACTGACAAAAAGCCTCTTCCACCAACCCCATACATCTTAACACCTCCTTGGAGGCCAGAATCCCCATGATGAAACGATACACTAATTCTCTTACCCTAGCCGGTATCCTAAGCTTACTAAATCCTTCCAAATAACCCCCCAATCATACGTTGGATACACGGCTACCCATTGCAAAATTCCCTGACCTCCCACTACTCTCACCAACCTTTTCACTTTGATGTTATCCACCTGTTGCACTGTCAATAAAAATCTTAACATATCTTCACAAACCCGCAGGTCCTTTCCACTCCACCATTTATGCGCCTCCTCCATAACTCTTCCTACGTTAGCTCGCCTCACACCCTCTTCCCTAATATACCTCCGCTTGATATATATAGCCATTACTCTCAGTCCTAAAGGCAACAAACCTAAACCCCCTCTTTGAACATCCATCATAACTACCTCCTTACTTAACCATGCCCTCCCAAATCCCCACACAAACTTTAGCACCCTCCTCTGCATTTCCACAATGTCCTGTACTTCTAAGGAAAAAACCTCTGCCACCCCCCATACCTTGCTATAGACAAGTGAATTTACCACCACTACCCTCTGATGTAAAACTAGGTCCCTCGCACTTAAACCTCCCAGTCTACCTAATGCCTTACCCATGACAGACTCCAAATTTACCCTTCTGCAGGCCTGCACACCCTCCGTATACCATATTCCACATACCCTGATTCTATCAACCACTGCCCATCCTAACCCCAACCCCAAGCCCCCCCCCTATCCAATTACCCACCTCTAGTAACCTTGATTTCACCGTATTAATTCGCATCTCCGTATTCATACCAAACATCTGAATCACTCTACCCACCCTCCTTAGCTCCTCCTTACCCCATAGCGAAACAGTAGTATCATCCACATACCCAACGATGCCCCCTTTGCACCCCCTTCCATCTCCTGTTCGTCTATCACCCGCTTAACAGACTCATAGAAAGGATTCTGCACATACGCAAAAAGCAGCTGCGATAGCGGGCAACCCTGCCTTAAACCTCTCTCCATCAGTACACTTTCACCCAACCTCCCATTGACTTGTACCCTCACCTCTGCCTCAGCATACAGGGTGTTCACCCACCTCACTACCTCCTCCCGAAACCCCAACCTCTCTAAGCAAACCCCTAAGAAATCTCTATCCATGCAATCATATGTGTTCTCCCAATCTGAACCTAGTATTCCCCCTCCCATACAACTCTCTAGAAAATCCCTAATAAAACCATGTCCATCCCTCATCCTTCTCCCCAGAATCCCCAACTGCCCCCTATGTAACATTAAACCCAACACTTTCCTCATTCTGTTGCCTAAAATCTTAGCAAAAATCTTGTAATCCGAGCACATTAACGTAATCGCACGGTAATCATTCAAAATTCGGCATTCCTTCTTTTTGGGCACTAAAACCGTGACACCTGTTCTTTGCGATTTTCCCATCCTCCCACCACTTAACATACAATTCAAAACCCCCACCAGACAATGCCATACACTCCCCCAATGACACCTATAGAAATCGTTCAGTATGCCATCTATCCCAGGGGTTTTACCCAGGCACAGCCCAAAAACTGCCTCCTCCACCTCCTCTACACTAATACTACTCTCGAGTCTGTCACTGTCCTGCTCACATATAACCCTATTAAACCCCTCATCCCCAAAACGTCCCTCACCCACTCCACCACCAACTCCTAAACCAGAAATTGGCATACAAACTAATATGTTCCGTGGTAGATAGGCTTTGACCCTCCTCAAATCCACCCGTCCCTGTTCCTGCCACTATATACACCAAGGTGGTTTTCGTCTGCCTTTCCTTAAACTTCCTGAGTACAAATCCCGACGGCCTATCCCCCATTAAAACATCCTCCAACCCCGCCCTAACTCTAATTGCCTCAAACTTTTCATTATGGATTTCCGCCAACCTATTTCGCAAACGTTCCATGTCCTCACTGTGCCCCACCCGGTCCTCTGCATAACAGTCATTTAACTGACCTTCAAGATAATTTTGTAGACCATAGCTCCACCTCGCCATCTCCTTACCCTGTACTTTAAAAAAATTAGCGATTCCAACTTTAGCTCTAATTTCCCACCAATCCAGCAAATCCATCTCCCTAATCCTAGTCTTCCAAAAGGATTTCCACCAATCCTCAAATCCTGTAGCGTCACCCTCGTCCCTAAGGAGCCTCACATTCAATTTCCAGTATCCTGTATAAACTCGCACTATACCATCTACCCTCAAATCTGCTATAACAGCACGATGATCAGAAAAACCCACATCTATAGTCCTCACCATCTCCACACCTATTCCCTGCCTAACATAAATCCTATCTAACCGTGCCTCATATCCCCTATGGATAAAGTGTGCTTCGTTCCATATCCCCTACTGCCCACCACATCTACCTCTCCAACATCCCGCAAAACGTCTCTCAGAACCCCCAAAACACAACTCGCCCCCCTCGGAACCACATCCCCATTCCTAATTACACAATTCCAATCCCCGCCAAGCACTGTAATTGCCGGTAAACCTCTCAAATGATACACCAAGACATCACATACAAAATCCACCTTCATCCTAGCGTTACTAGTTGCTGGCATGTACACACCTACAAAACAAACCCTCCTCGCCCCCCAAAACCCATCCATCCTGACAACCCTCCCACCCCCCCTCCTCCCAACCCAGGATACACAAAGGACTGGTCTCCTTTACCGCCACAGCCACACCTTTCAACCTCAAAGCATCACTGGTAAACAACCTATAATCTTTCAAAACCAACTCACATCCTAACCTATGGTTATGTTCCTGCAAAAAACAGACATCAATACTAAATCTCCTTAAAAACCACTCTAACCATACCCTCTTGACCTCGGTCTGAAGACCGTTTACATTGAAAGTTACACACCTGAAATTACAAGAATGGCGGCTTACCCCTATGCCACTGAAGCTTACTTGATCCTCCTTTCATAGGTCTCGGTCCATCTCTAGCAATCCCTCGTTCCTGCCCTCCAACCCCTTCCTGTCCCTTCCCGCCGATCTTCCCATTGCTCCCCCCCTCCCTCCTGGTCTCGCCGTTTCCACCACAGCACAGCTGCCCAAACCTTCTTCCCAGGCCGCTGCGCTGGTGTGAGGACCTCATCCATGTCTGATGCCCCCACTGATCTCTTGCGGGAGCTACCCTCTACACACATATCTATCTTCAATCACATCTTCTTGATGGACCTCCACCACCACATTGATCTCTATCCTAACCTCACTCAAGTCTTCCTTACCCTGTTTCTGTTCGTCCATCACCTTGACATCACCTAACCTCTCGTCTCCTTCCACACCATGCTCCGACTCATCCAAAAAATCCTTCAGCACAGCCTCCAAAATCCCGTCCTGAGCTGAATCTGTAGGAACTAACGGTCTGACAGCGTTATTCCCCCCCCCCCCCCGTTTCCTCTGGTAGTGTAACACAAGTCTCCAAAGCCACCTCTGCTCTCTCAACCTCCTCACTCCATAGGCCCATCCCCCGGCCTTCCACATCACCCGTCATAATGTCCAAGGCTTCTACCTGATTGCCTTCAGAAGCTTTTTCTGGAACCCTAGGGCCCTGTCTCCTGGGGTATTGTGCCGCCATGTGCTCATAAGAGTCACATAAACGGCACGTCCTCCGCTGCCCCACACAGTGTACAAAAACCTGAGTTCTATAACCGTGCAATGTGACGTATCGGCCTTCTCAGGGTCATTTTCAGTGTGAAGGATCCTTCAGGCAGCCACTCGTAGGGGCCGTCCCTCCACATTCCCATGCTCGCCGAGTGTACAGTTCCATAACCACTGAACACATCCTGTAGGCTGTATGCTGTCGCTTCAAAAGGTACATTCAGTATCTTCACCCAAGTAAAATACTTAGAAACATCATGCAAGCATACTTCCACTGCCGAATTGACGCTCATCCTCCTTTCTTGAAATTCGTCGACGATGCTGGAGTAGAAGTCGGCCCTCATGAACTTCACGAAAACCCTTGACATACCATTCAGCGCCACACCGTACAACTCTTCATTGGGGATGCCATAAACATCCCTGATAATGCTTGGCAGGAGAACGTTCATCACGGCGCTGCTTAAAGATCCCCTGACCAGCTCAATGCAGACAGTATTTATGCGCCGGTTCATTCGGTCCGCCATCTTGGTGCTAATGCTATGTTTTCCTCACCAGGTGGCGTGCAAGAGAAACTGTGGAAGCGTCCTCTCTCCCCGCAGATCGAGAGACGAATGCTCCATTCAGGGGTTGCAATATGTACGAGGAGATGTATGGGTCTCTACCCGTACATCTCTTGTCATGCACGGAGACTCGTACATCTCATTTCTTCCATTTGTTTTGTAGTGGATATTTATCCCACTGGTTGGTAACACTTATTTAGTGGGCGGATAAAGCGAAAATTTTAAGTTCAGTTTTACCTCTTTTTTTGTGTACTTGTTTATTTGCTGCTAACATTCACGGTACATGGGTCCCTGTGATTACATGGGTCCCTGTGATTACATGGGTCCCTGTGATTACATGGGTCCCTGTGATTACATGGGTCCCTGTGATTACATGAGTCCCTGTGATAACGTGGGTGCCTGTGATGACACTGCTCCCCGTAAAGTGTCAGTCTTGGTATTGTAAGGAGAGTGGGTCAACACTGAGTTTACTGTTAAGTTTGAGGTTTAGGCTTGTGTTAGTACGGTGTCAAGTAAGAATGTGGCTCCACAACAGTTGACTCCCGTCTTGTTTTCTGACTCTTAGATGGTTATTTGAATATCTCTCAATTATCACTATGGCCATCAGTATATAGGGTAGAGTGAAAGGCCTTAATTCACGCGGGTTGTTTTCAGGAAATCTGCTCTACAATGATTTTCCTGTTTTTCTGAAATCTGCTCTACAATTATTTTCCGGTTTTCAGGAAATCTGCTCTACAATGATTTTCCTGTTTTTCTGAAATCTGCTCTACAATGATTTTCCTGTTTTTCTGAAATCTGCTCTACAATGATTTTCCTGTTTTCCTGAAATCTACTCTACAATGATTTTCCTGTTTTAAGGATTGAATGACATATGGGAAAAATATGGTTGCTTTCGTAACGCCTGTATAAAAAAATCAAATAAGGGGCAATTGATTTTGAATTACAATACCATCATTAACAGGCAGTATTCTATCATCTACCACTACAATCACCTTCCACAATTACCTGTCATTACTTACCACCATGGTATTCCATCAGCCTGGGGGAAAAAACCAGTTCCTGACACTAGATTAAGCCTTCACTATGTAACTCTCATTTCAATCATCGACATATTCACCTCCTACAAAGGTATCAAGGGTAGGTAAATGAATTTTAAAGGCACAACAATGTGCAATTATAATGTAAATGTTACTCTGATTTCTCTGCATAGTGTTTCACCTCACTAAATTCTCTTGAGCTATAATTTTCTTGGAAATCGTTTGGGTTTCAAACTTACGTGTTTCTCTTGACTATTTAATAATGGAATACAGTTCTCTGTTTCGCCTTTATATATCAGAAAATTAGGTTACCTATTTCAGTGATAAGGTATATACTTAGAATTGCTAATTATAACCAAGATACATAGAATTACTAATTATAACCAAGATATATAGAATTACTAATTATAACCAAGATACATAGAATTACTAATTATAACCAAGATACAAAGAATTACTAATTATAACCAAGATACAAAGAATTACTAATTATAATCAAGATACATAGAATTACTAATTATAACCAAGATGAATAGAATTACTAATTATAATAAAAAATACATAGAATTACTAATTATAACCAAAATACAAAGAATACTAATTATAACCAAGATACAAAGAATTACTAATTTTAACCAAGATACATAGAACCACTAATTATAAACACATGAGTTTTTATTTATTGTTTTGTTGTAATAACAATAATAGTCGTACTTATGAAAGTTTTTCGTATTTCTGCAGCAAATCTGTGAGGACATCCTGCGCTACCATGTTTTACACAACTACCAGGTTAACCTGTATGTGGCACCGGATGGTAGCAAGCCATTTGGTGCTGCTCCTGCGTCTCAACATGCTGTTACAGCTGTCAAGTTTATATAGAAAAACATGACCAGTTGCAAGTTTTTGGTTACTATTCAGTTATATGCAGTATAATATGAGTCACTTATACACTGTATTTATGTAACTTGAAAGGTTTGTGTAGCAAGTAAGATATGTAAGTACATATACTCTTGTTAAGTTTATACACTTTGTATATTTACAAGTTTATGCACAAGTGATGTTTTGGATTGGTCAGTATATTTTTATAGTGTTGTATGTCAAGCATCATCATGTACCTTCAAGTCCACGGGTCACAGCGCAGAACTGTAGGTCATGGGTCACAGAGAAGAACTGCAGGTCATGGGTCACAGGGCAGAATTGCAGGTCATGGGTCACAGAGAAGAACTGCAGGTCATGGGTCACAGGGCAGAATTGCAGGTCCACGGGTCCACATTATAGCCCTCATGAAGGCAACTGCCGCCAGTCGTACACAGCCTTGTCAGGTAAAAAGCTACACGGACAGCTAACATTCGTCAAGTTTCAAGGTGTGTGGTAGGAGGAGAAGGGTTGACAGTTGTGGTAGGAGGGGAAGGGTTGATAGGTGTGTAGTAGGATACGAAGGGTGGGTTGACAGGTGTGGTAGGAAGGGATGGGTTGACGGGTGTGTGGTAGGAAGCGAAGAGTTGACAGGCGCGGTAGGAGGGGAAGGGTTGACAGTTGTGGTAGGAGGGGAAGGGTTGACAGTTGTGGTAGGAGGGGAAGGGTTGATACGTGTGTAGTAGGAAGCGAAGAGTTGACAGGCGTGGTAGGAGGGGAAGGACTGAAAGTTGTGGAAGGAGGGGAAGGGTTGACAGTTGTGGTAGGAGGAGAAGGGTTGACAGGTGTGTGGTAGGAGGGGAAGGGTTGACAGGTGTGAGGTAGGAAGGGAATGGTTGACAGGTGTGAGGTAGGAGTGGAAGTGTTGACACGTGTGTGGTAGGAGGGGAAGGGTGTGACAGGTGTGTGGTAGGAAGGTAATGGTTGACAGGTGTGTGGTAGGAGGGGAAGGGGGTGACAGGTGTGAGGTTGGAAGGGAATGGTTGACAGGTGTGTGGTAGGAGTGGAAGTGTTGACAGGTGTGTGACAGGAGAGGAAGGGCTGGCAGGTGTGTGGTAGGAAGGTAATGGTTGACAGGTGTGTGGTAGGAAAGGAAGGGTGTGACAGGTGTGTAGTAGGAAGCGAATAGTTGACAGGCGTGGTTGGAGGGGAAAGGTTGACAGGTGTGTTACGAGGGGAAGGGTTGACAGGTGTGTGGTACGAGGAAAAGGTTGACAGGTGTGTGGTAGAAGGGGAATGGTTTACAGGTGTGTGGTAGGAGGAGAAGGGTTGACAGGTGTGGTATGAGAGGAAGGGTTGACAGGTGTGGTAGGAGGGAATGGTTGACAGGTGTGTGGTAGGAGGGGAAGGGTTAGAGATGTGTGGCAGGAGGGAATGGTTGACAGGTGTGTGGTACGAGGGGAATGGTTGGAGGTTGTGGTAGGAGGGGAAAGGGTTGACAGTTGTGTGGAAGAAAAGAAAACGTGACAAGTGTGTGGTTGGAGGGAAAGGTTGACAGGTGTGTAGTTGGAGGGAAGGGTTGACAGCTGTGGTAAGAAGGGATGGGTTGACAGGTGTGTGGTAGGAGGGTAAGTTTGACAGATGAGTGGTAGGAGGGAAGGGTTGACAGGTGTGGTAGGAAGGGAAGGGTTGACAGGTGTGGTAGGAGGGAAAGGCTTGGCAGGTTTGCGTAGGAGGGGAAAGGGTGACAGGTGTGTGGTTGGAGGGGAAGGGTTGACAGGTGTGTGGTAGGAGGGGAAGGGTTAGAGATGTGTGGCAGGAGGGGAAGGGTTGACAGGTGTGTGGTACGAGGGGAAGGGTTGAGAGGTGTGGTAGGAGGGAAAGGGTTGACAGTTGTATGGTAGGAAAGGAAACGTTGACACCAGTGTGTGGTTGGAGGGGAAAGGTTGGACAGGTGTGTAGTTGGAGGGGAAGCGTTGACAGCTGTGGTAAGAAGGGATGGGTTGACAGGTGTGTGGTAGGAGGGTAAGTGTTGACAGATGAGTGGTAGGAGGGGAAGGGTTGACAGGTGTGTAGTAGGAGGGGATAGGTTGACAGGTGTGTGGTAGGAGGGGAATGATTGGCAGGTGTGTGGTTGGAGGGGAAGGGTTGACAGGTGTAGTAGGAAGGGAAGGGTTGACAGATGTGTAGTGGAAGGGAAGGATTGACAGGTGTATGGCAGGACGGGAAAGGTTGACAGGTGTGTGGTTGAAAGGGAATGCTTGACAGGTGTGTGGTAGGAAAGAAAGGGTTGACAGGTGTGTGTAGGAAGCGAAGAGTTGAGAGGCGTGGTAGGAGGGGAAGAGTTGACAGGTGTGTTACGAGGGGAAGGGTTTACATTAGGTGGTACGAGGGGAAGGGTTGACAGGTGTGTGGTAGAAGGGGAATGGATTACAGGTTTGTGGTAGGTGGAGAAGGGTTAACAGGTGTGTGGTAGGAGGAGAAGGGTGGAAAGGTGTGTGGTGGGAGAAGTGTTGGACAGGTGTGGTAGGAAGGGAAGGGTTGACAGGTGTGGTAGGAGGAAAGGCTTGGCAGGTTTGTGGTAGGAGGGGAAAGGGTGACAGGTGTGTGGTTGGAGGGGAAGGGTTGACAGGTGTGTGGTAGGAGGCGAAGGGTTGACAGATGAGTGGTAGGAAGGGAAAGGTTGACAGGTGTTTGGTAGGAGGTGAAGGGTTGACAGGTGTGGTAGGAGGGAAAGGCTTGGCAGGTTTGTGGTATGAGGCGAAAGGGTGACAAGTGTGTGGTTGGAGAGGAAGGGTTGACAAGTGTGTGGTAGGACGGGAAGGGTTGACAGATGAGTGGTAGGAAGGGAAGGGTTGACAGGTGTGTAGTAGGAGGGGAAGGGTTGACAGGTGTGTGGTTGGAGGGGAAGGGTTGACAGGTGTGGTAGGAAGGGAAGGGTTGACAGGTGTGTTGTAGGAGAGCAAAGGTTGATAGGTGTGTGGTTGGAGGGGAAGGGTAGACAGGTGTGTGTGGTGGGAAGGAAAGGGTTGACAGGTGTTTGGTGGGAGGGGAAGGGTTTACAGGTGTGTGGTGGGAGGGGAAGGGTTGACAGGTGTGGTAGGATTAAAAGGGTTGACAGGAGTGTGGTAGGGGGGATAGGTTTGACAGTTGTGGTAGGAAGGGAAAGGTTGACAGATGTGGTAGGAAGGGAAGGGTTGACAGGTGTGTTTGGAGGGGAAGGGTATACAGGTGTGTGGTAGAAGGGGAAGGGTTGACGTGTGTGGTTGGTGGGGCGGGGTTGACAGGTGTGGTAGGAGGGGAAGGGTTGACAGGTGTTTGGGAGGATAGGAAGGGTTGACAGATGTTTGGGTTGAGGGGAAGGGTTGACAAGTGTGTGGTATAAGGGGAAGGGTTGACCGGTGTGTGGTAGGAGGGGAGGGGCTGACAGGTTTGGTACGAGGGAAAGGGATGACAGGTGTGGTAGGAAGGGAAAGGGTTGACAGGTGTGTGGTAGAAGAGGAAGGGATGACAGGTGTGTGGCAAGATTGGAAGGTTGACAGGTGTGTGGTAGAAAAGGAGGGTTGACAGGTGTGGTAGAGGACGAAGGGTTGACAGTTGTGGTAAGAAGGGAAGGGTTGACATGTGTGGTATGAAGGGAAGGGTTGACAGGTGTGGTAGGATTAAAGGGTTGACAAAAGTGTGGTAGGAAGGGATAGGTTAACAGTTGTGGTAGGAAGGGAAAGGTTGACAGGTGTGGTAGCAAGGGAAGGGTTGACAGGTGTGGTTGGAGGAGTAGGGTAGACAGGTGTGTGGGTAGAAGGGGAAGGGTTGACGTGTTTGGTTGGTCGGGCGGGGTTGACAGGTGTGGTAGGAGGGGAAGGGTTGACAGGTGTTTGGGAGGATAGGAAGGGTTCATAGGTGTTTGGGTTGAGGGGAAGGGTTGACAGGGTGTGGTAGGAGGGGAAGGGTTGAGAAGTGTGCTAGGAGGTGAAGGGTTGACAGGTGTGTGATAGGAGGGGAAGGGTTGACAGGTGTGGTGGTAGGAAGGAAGGGTTGACAGGTGTGTGGTGGGAAGGGATGGGTTGACAGGTGTGTGGTAAAAGGGGAAGGGTTGACAGGTGTGGTAGGAGGGGAAGGGTTGACAGGTTTGGTATAAGGGGAAGGGTTGACAGGTGTGTGATAGGAGGGGAAGGGCTGACAGGTGTGGTAGGAGGAGAAGGGTTGACAGGTGTGGTAGGAGATGGAAGGGTTGACAGGTTTGTGGTAGGATTGGAAGGGTTGACAGGTGTGTGGTAGAAGGGGAAGGGTTGACAGGTGTGGTATGAAGGGAAGGGTTGGACAGGTGTATGGTTGGAAGGGAAGGGTTGACAGGTGTGTGGTGGGATGGGAATGGTTGACAGGTGTGTGGTAGGAAGGGAAGGGTTGACAGGTGTGTGGTAGGACGGGAAAGGTTGACAGGTGTGTGGTTGAACGGGAAGGGTTGACAGGTGTGTGGTAGGAGGGGAAGGGTTGACAGGTGTGTAGTAGGAAACGAAGAGTTGACAGGCGTAGTAGGAGAGGAAGGGTTGAGAGGTGTGTGGTACGAGGAGAAGGGTTGACAGGTGTGTGGTAGAAAGGGGAATGGTTGATCTGGTGTGTGGTAGGAGGAGAAGGGTTGACAGGTGTGGTAATAAAAGAAGGGTTGACAGGTGTGGTGGGAGGGGAAGAGTTGACAGGTGTGTGGTAGGAGGGGAAGGGTTGACAGGTGTGTGGTAGGAGGGGAAGGGTTGACACGTGTGTACTAGGAGGGGAAGGGTTCCATGTGTGGTACGAGGAAAAGGGTTGACAGGTTTGTGAGCAGGAGGGGAGAAAGGTTGACAGGTGTGTGGTTGGATGGGAAGGGTTGACAGGTGTGTGTGTAGGAGGGGAAGGGTTCGCAAATGAGTGGTAGGAGGGTAAAGTATTGAGAGGTGTGTGGTAGGAGGGGAAAGGTTGACACGTGTGTGGTTGGAGGGTAAAGGTTGACACGTGTGTGGTTGGAGGGTAAAGGTTGACACGTGTGTGGTTGGAGGGGA